TCCCTCGGCAATCTTCACGGCGCTCTGGCCCAATGGTTGCCAGTGGCTTGATTTGAATTAATTTTATAATGAATGATTTTAGAGTGTTGTTTGTGCTTTAGTTTTGTACTGTTTTGTTGTTGTTAGCCGCCCTGAGCCCGGCTTCGGCTGGGGAGGGCGGGATATAAATAAAATTTATTATTATTATTATTGATATTTTGTACAGTTGTTGAATGGTCAAAACTAAGTCTACATCTAAAATTTTAATTTTTTTATCTCATCCCGTTTGTGAGTTATGAGGGCTTGAAATCCCCCTCCCCCCAAATGACAGTTTTGGCCTTGCTGGTCAACACAAAAACCTTAACTTAGTTTTGATCATTCAAAACATGTACACACATATGAACGCATATGTACAAAATATTAAGAAAACTGGATGACATGAGGTAAAAAAAGTTGGGATGATTTGGAATGACCCAAAGTTGTGCCCCTCCCCTTTGGAGTTAGTTCAAGAAGCTATTGGGCTATGACTATTAGTCGTATACCTTGAAGGTGGGGATTGTAGGTGAATTCATAAAGCTTGAGGTATTTTAAAAATATATATATATATATATATTTTAATTAAATTTCCAATTAACAAACCAATCATATCACATTAATTCCAAATTATACCAATACATATCATAAAATCCAAATATTTTGCCGAATTTTTAAAATTTTTGTTGGGGGTACCCATGCTTCAAGTTCAGAAAGGGTCCAATCATCTCATATTTCTGCTGTTTTGATGTTCACAAGTCCCATCTTCCATCTCTTTGTTGTTATCCTTTACAAATCCCATCTTCCAATCTTCTTGTTATCATTTTTCTTCTTAATAAATAACCTCTGAGTTATCTCCACAAGCGAGTTGAAGCAAACATTATTATAGTCCTGTGTTGGTTTTCACGCTGATCCAAAAGTCCTGTTCAAACGGCAGGCGTCATTTCGACAGTTCCCATAAAATACAGTCTAAGCGTCTGCTCATTAACTTTCCTAGACCAGTTGCACCATAAATCAGCCTTTCCAGGGGAGTTTTTGCCAAATCAGACGTACAGTCCAAACATGATAACAGAACAGTGGCTTGCCTCCCCCTTTGACTGTAAATCTCGCAACAAAATCTGTCTCATAATGGCGGTTCCCAATTAGAACTGCGTCACACCAAAAGTTTCGTTTCCTTTCCAGATCTTCCACAAAACAAAGCCTTTGGTTAATAATTTTGTTTCCGCACAGTTTATTTTCCCATCTCACTTGCTATCAATCATGTGGCGGTTCTTCTTGGGGGAGGGGGTTGTTAGGTAAAAAGCTTGAGGCATTTTAAATTGGAGTTACACAACTCAAATTAGTCATTGGTGTTAACTTTAGAGGCCCACATTCATACATGAACCATTAAAACATTGTGTTTACATTAGGCATAATGCAACTAGAGAAAACGTGTCTAGAAGTTATTCCTCTGTTTCAGGGTTGTTGTTGTTGTTTGGTTGTTGTTGTTGTGTTTTTTTTGGGGGGGGAACCAACAAGCAAGGGGTAAAACCAACAAGCAAGCCATACCACAAACATCACAGCTCTTATCAGACTAGTAAAACATAAACTATCTCATGACATGTATAACACGTCGACCGCGAGCCTGGGGTTATTTCTGGTCAATCACAGGACCTTTCTCTGCAATCTCAGATGCTGCAGTAGCAGCCGCTGCCGCGGCAGTAGCCGCGGCCGCTGCCAGTCTCCACAGCAATAAGGGGGTGCGGATAAGGGGGTGCTGCTGGAGACGGAGGGAGGTGCAAGGAGGAGCCGTGTGCAAAGGAAGGATGTATAACACTGGTCAACAACAAATTTGTTGTCTGCGTTTTTTCTGTTGATTTAGGACGAATCTGATGCGCTGAATCCAAAAATCACATTGGTTTTGCTCAATCAGGTCAAGTTTTTGAGCTATGGCCACATGTCTTTTTTATGTTTTTGTTCACATGTACGCTTGTGTGGAGCATTTTAGAAGAAGTTGGTGGGGGTAAAATGCCATGTCGAAGAATTGTTTTGATTGGAAATGATTATTTTAATGACAAGAAGTATTCAGGTCCGATAGTTCTGGGTGATTATGTCGAAAAGAGATCAGTTTGAAGTCATAAAACCTCGAAATCTTCCATAAATTGGTGCGGCTGGGATCAACAGAAAGAACCGGAGCAGCCTCAAGTATCCTGATCTTCAATCAGCACGTCGTCCTGTAGCTCATTGTGATGAAATTCCAGTGCCTATCTTCAGAGAACTTCCTGACATTAGTGACAAAGATGCCTCCAGTGTTGAAGGACATGAAGAAGAAGAAGAAGTGGTTCTTGAAGATGATGCTCCACATCCATTTTCCCAAAAGGAGTTGAATGATCTAGTTCGCGACCTCAGCTTGTCAAAGGACTCTGCCGAACTGTTGGCATCCAGATTGAAGGAAAAAACCTCCTCTCTGACAGTGCTCGCATCAGCTTCTTCCGCAACAGGCATCAAGAGTACCTCCGTTTTTTATCGGAAGAGAAGGACTTGGTGTACTGTGCAGATATTGCACAGCTTCTGCTCAAGCTTGGAGTGCCACAGTACGAACCCAAAGATTGGAGACTGTTCATTGACAGCAGCAAGCGATCACTGAAATGTGTTCTGCTACACAATGGCAACCAGTTTGCCTCTATACCCCTGGCTCACTTGAGCTACACTGAAGGAGAACTATGAAGCGGTGAAGTATGTGCTGGAGAAAATTGGTTATGATCAGCATAAGTGGTTTATTTGTGTTGACCTGAAGATGGTGAACTTTTTGTTGGGACAACAGTCTGGCTTCACCAAGTACCCATGTTTTCTGTGCATGTGGGATAGTAGGGACCGTGCTCAGCATTACACGAAGAAGGACTGGCCTGTGCGGGAGGAATTGGTGCCTTGCAAAGAAAGGAACGTCATCAACGACCCTCTGGTGGACAGAGACAGAATACTCTTCCCACCGCTGCACATCAAGCTTGGCTTAATCAAGCAGTTCACCAAGGCTCTGGACAAGGATGGTGACTGCTTCACTTACTTGTGCCAGGCTTTTCCAGGATTGACCATGGAGAAGTTGAAAGCTGGCATCTTTGACGGTCCTCAGATCCGTCAGCTCATCAGAGATCCAGAGTTCGGAAACTCAATGAACGAAGTGGAACTGGAAGCGTGGAAGGCATTTGTTCTGGTAGTGAAGAACTTTCTTGGCAACAATAAGGCCAGAAACTACTCAGAACTTGTCAACAACATGCTGACTGCTTTCAGAAACCTGGGCTGCAACATGAGCGTCAAGATGCACTACCTATTTTCACATCTGGACCGGTTTCCTGAGAACCTGGGTTCAATGAGTGACGAGCAGGGGGAGAGATTTCATCAGGACATGAAAGAGATGGAGACCAGGTATCAGGGTCGCTGGGACGCAGTCATGATGGCTGACTACTGTTGGACTCTGAAGAGAGACCTCCCTGCCGCTGAGCATTCCAGGAGTTCCAAGAAACGGAAGTTCAAGCCCTGAAGTTTGAAAAATGGTGAAGCAACATGCAATTTACGTGTACTTACCTTTATCAATGCCCACCATTCAGTTTACAGTAAACCTGACGGAGAGAAACGGATGCCATTTCCTGATTCAGCAGTGCAAAAATACCCTAAATCAGTTGTAGAAATCTAGACAACATTCAAAAAGTAAAAAATTGTTGCCCAGTGTAATAATTGATGCTTATGTACCGTATAATAATTGATACTTATGTATAAAACTACATTTGACATTGAAAGAAAAACAAAAACAGATACATTTCCCAATCTACTATAAAAACTACTATAAAATTCTAGCAGCTACACAGCGCCTTCTACTGCGTCTACAGTGAGTTTCACCAAGTCATAATTTTAACCTACCTCATTTCATTCACTGAAGAATGACTCATTCATAATAACTGCCAAATTGTGTTTTTCCTTGAAACATTGTATGTTCAACCTCTCACGTTAACTTACTTGGAGTAATAAGACATAGAAAGCCATTTTACAGAGACCATAAATTTTATTACTTGGACAAGGAATGATGTAATATTTAAATCCTGTACACTGTTGACCCTGAAACCCAAGTCCCAACCCTCCTGGATGTTCCTTCTGTTGGTAATCAAGCCTTTATCGGGAGAAGCTGGCAACTCTCCCAGGCACCCGGCTTGATCTCCGGTGACCTCCCTGGCTGCATTCCCCAGCAAACACAGGCTAGGTCTCTATAGGCGACCTCCCCAGCGTGGGAAGAGCACACCCACTCTTTCCTGCTTCCCCGGCAGGGGAAAGAGATAGGTCAGAAACGTCTTTTTACATGGCTTTATTTCTGACTCTTCAGCATTACAGAAAACATGTCTGCTCTCTTCAAACTCCAGCAATCAAGTGACAAAGACTTCCTGTACTTCCTGTACATACACAAGAGGAAGTTCTCAAATTTCACTCTGAGCAAATTCCGGTGCATCGCTCTGTGAACTGACTATCCCACTGTTTCCCACAGACAGTCCCAACATTCCCATCATGTGATGTTTTCAAGCTAGCAGTTTGCAGCTGCATTGCTTCCATATCGTAACACCTTCCTCACATCTCCAAAGTAGGTGTCTCCTGCAGATTTCCTGTGAAGGACAATAACAAGTGTTTGCTAGCATGTTTCTCAATGGATATTAGGTTGTAAACAAGGCAAAGACCAGCAGGAAGGTGTTTGAGGCGACAGACAAGAAACCATCCATGCCTGCTTCTCCTTTTGTCTCCCTGTATTAACAGTTGTATAAATACTAATAAAACACCCAGACACCCAAGGAGGTGTTAATGACTTACCTGTAACCTGTGAACTTACCTGTAACTCTATCCGATGTACCTCCTTTCTAATGATGTGTTTCTGATGTATGATTGACTCTCTTGTTGGGCGGACCATGTAGAGATTCGCCTGTGGATCAGATATTAAAACATTTCTGGTTTTGAATTTTTTTTTTTTAAATTGGCCAGTAGCACCTTAGAGACCAACTAAGTTTTTTCTAAGCTTATACCTAGAACAAACTTTGTTGGTCTCTAAGGTGCTACTGGACAATTATTTATTTATTTCATTTATTTCAACTGCGTCAGACCAACACGACTACCTACCTGAATAGAATTTCTGGTTTCCTTTTGTTTGGGGTTCTCCTCCCTCCTGCGTGTGGTGAGTGGGGACCCAATTACACCAGTTTTTGTTTCTGGTTGGCCTCCGTTCTCTCTGACCGATAGAGACCTTACAAGGGGCTCAACGGGTCTCTGGAAACCCCATAAGGGAACTAGACAATTTTCTTAAAACACTGCCATCCCTTATTTCAGAAGAGAAGGTGTGCACAGGTTTGTTTTTAAGCAAAATGAGCTTTGTTTTGGGAGTTGGTAGGGAGAGAGATGCTGGCAAGTATGGTTGATGTGGGAAGGGAATCAAGGAAGAGTTGAGGCGGGGTTGCTTTGTTGTTGTTTTAACTCCTATTTTTCCAAGTTTGCTTCATTCCGTTTGTGAGCTTTCCTTTCTTGTTTATGTAATGAGGCACTCGAAGACTGCTTTGGAGAGGTTTGGGACCTACTCTCTTCCCCCAACTCCCATTATTTAGGAGGAACTGCTCCTAGAATTATATTTCTACTCCAAATAATCTACTTTCCCAACTCCATTGCACAGTAGTTGCACATTTGTTTCACTTTTTCTCTCTCTCTCTCAAATTTCAAGTTCAGCATCATAGTAATCATAATCCGCAGAATTTTTATTAATGAATTTATATGCTGCTTGATTGCTGAAGCCGACTTCTAAGCAGCTTGCAAGTATACAGTCGTACCTTGGTTGTCGAACGGAATCCGTTCGACTTCCAAAAACGTTCAACAACCAAGGCACAGCTTCCGATTGACTGCAGGAGTTTCCTGCAGTCAATCGGAAGCCATGGAAGCCGTGTCGAACGTTCGGGTTCCAAAGAACATTCGCAAACTGGAACACACTTCCGCGTTAGTGATGTTCGGGAGCCAAAACGTTCAAGTCACAAGGCATTCGAGATCCAAGGTAAGACTAAAACCAACTACAAAATAATACAAAAACTTGTAAATAAAAATGTGCAATAAAACAATTTAATTGAAACATTAAAATAAGCATCCAAGTATTAAAAAATACAGTAAAGGAAGCATACTTGAACAGTACAGCAGTTAAGAATTAAAACAGCAATTTAAACAATTTAAAATTAAAGATAGTAACAGTAATAAGTATTTGCATTGTGCTCAAGTGTTCAGATGCTGCAGGTATGTATTCTTTTAATCCTTATGACACCCCTGTCAGATATGCCAAGAGACTCAGAATTCCAACTTTTTAATGACTGAGTTACTGTACCTTTGGCAGTTTGATGATAGGCAGAATTCAGAAGTCAAACTACTGGAACCTCCCCATTTCAGACATACAGTGATAGAAGAAGCATCACCTGTTGAATTTCTGTCTGATGTGCATATGCTGCAGCCATAGGTGTTCACCAGGAAAAAGAGGGCAATCCTATACTCAAAAAGTTAATTAGAACATGTTACATACCTTTCTGTTACAGCTGCCAAGCTGACTGAAAAACCCACATTCAGAATGGGCATTCTGAGCATAGCTGTCAACTTTTCCCTTTTCTTGCGAGGAATCCTATTTGGAATAAGGAAATTTCTCTTTAAAAAAAAGGGAAACGTTGACAGCTATGATTTTGAGAGATATCTAGTTGTCTAGTGATAGTAGTTTTTTAAACCAATTTCTGTTTGTTTTTCTTTCTTCTAAATGGACTTGACATGATCAACAAATTCCAGACGGATCGCCTTGTATTGTATTGCAAAATTCATATACCACCCTTTCTCCTAAAGGAATATTATGGCATTTTTAAGACTTAACACATTTAAGCCCACTTTTGTCAGACTGCTGTATGCACCTGTAGCCAACAAATGTTTGTTTTGTTTATGCCACACTAGTGTAAGTCTAACATCTTGTTTTATTGTGATTAATCCCTAATACTGGAGCCCCATTAGTTGTAATTACACAAGAAAACACTCTTGAGTGGGCATCGCAGCCATCAAGTGAGAGAGGAAGGGTTGTGCTTTCATTAATCTGTTAATGTTTTAAGAGATTCTCAGATTCTGGATATTAAAAGTAAGTTCTGCAAAATGCGTTACCATTTACATAGTTTGCCACGGTAAATGTGGCATCTCAGGTACCCAGAATCTTTCATGTAGCAGGATATTGAAGGCTCAGCTGTATAGGCGGTCCTGCAAAAAAACAATTATCTTGGGAATGGAGTGTTCATAAGCATGGTGCTGGAGAGGTACCACTCAAAAATAATGAATTAGGTTGCAATCCCAATTCAATTTGCTTGGGAGTAAGCCCTTTTGAATTAAGTAGGATTTATTTCTGTGTAGAAATGGTTAGGATTGTGCTGTTAGGCCCATTCTTCCAAAATAAGACATATTTAACTTTGACTGCAGTACTTGCTGAAGCTGCAAGGTAACCTATTGGGTTAAGAATATATATATATATATATATATATATATATATATATATGTGTATGTGTGTGTGTGTGTGTGTGTGTGCGTGCGCGCGCGCGCGCGTGTGTGTGCGCGCGCGTGCGTGTTCTCTCTCTCTCTCTCTCTCTCTCTCACACACACACACACACACACACACACAAATATATATATACACCAGTGTTTATAAATGCTTATGGCTGGCCTCTATTGCTGAGGCTGAGCCCCATTTCCTTGTGGTGTTCAATTAGCAATAGCTATTAAAAATGTGTTATTAAAAATGTGTCGCTGATGTGAAATGTCTATTAGTTCATGTGTTTCCAAAAATAAGATTGCTGTAATTGGTAAAATGTGTGACTGAATTGTACAATTTATTAATGTTGACAATATTCACAATTTATTTTTTGCTTTGTAATCTTGCGAAAGAAGAAAAATGCTGACTAGACATTCCATTGTGGCACCCGTAACCTACATTTAAGGGGCCATTTGGCAAACAGCTTACATATCTCGAGTTTCCAACACTAGTTATGTTGTGCTGGTTTGCATTAAACTTTGCCAATGAAAGACAAAGGAAATTAATCTAGGAGCAATGAGTGAAACAGTTTCTGGTTACTTTTTTTTTTTAAAGTCTTCTAATTTATGGAGTATTCCAGGATTATGAACCCATCTCTTCCCTTCTCTTGCCAAGTTAGTTAGGTCATTGAAGACTCTTGATAATTTTGAATTTGTTCAGGTTATTTCAACTCACAGGGTTGGGTTCCAGGTGAGTAATCATTGGCCACCATTCTTTAATGATGATGTGTACTTTTTGCCTTCCTTGCTTCAGTTACATAATGGTTAGAGTGTTGGACCTGGGAGAGCAGGGTTTGAATCCTCACCCAGCTATGAAGCTTACTCGGTGGCCTTGGGGCAGTCACCACTCTTAGCCTAACCTACCTCGCAGGGTTGTTGTGAGGATGAAATGGGAGGAGGAGAACCATGTACACCACCTTGAGATCCTTGGAAGATAATGGTGGTATATAAATGTAATAAATAGATGAATAAAAATAATATCTTAGGTGTTTATTTTGTATTTCAGCTGGCAGCCAGAGAGACAGATTCCATTCCATGATGTTAGGTTTCCTCCACCTGCGGGGCACAATAAAGATATAAATGAAAGTGATGAAGTTGAGGTAAGAACTCCCTTCTGGGGAGGGAATGGAAGGGAGAAGATTTAGTTGGCTGCCTTATGCTGAAATGGGAGGTTGGGCACTATGTGAGAATGATGGGGAGGGTGTTTTTGGTAAGCAGTACAAGCAAATACTCACAAACAAGCCCTACTGAAGTCAATGAGACTTACTCCCAGGAAAGTAGAAGTAAGTTTAGTTGAACTCAGTGAGGCTTATGCATGCATAGATTCCACTTAGACCTCTGAGTCGGGAAGCAGATGCAACTTGACTAGTAAATCACTTAAACTACTCTTAAATTAGTTGAAAATATATTAAATATATTATATGGAAGTTTATTTAATATTTTTATTAAATCTACTACTTCATTACATTTTAAGGCCCTCCATCGCCACAGGGAGCCTCGTCAAGGCCCTTGGCTGCTGCGTGTAAGTGTGGCGCACCCTCCGCCACTGCAGGGAGGTACGGCAGGACCCTCTGCCACCGCGGGGAGGCGTGGCATTCATTATTAATTTTTATGAAATGCGGTGAGGTGCAGGATGTCTTCTGCTTAACATGCACTGTTGTGTTGAGGTTCAGCAGCAATTAAAGCAGGATAGAACACGCAATTGAAAGGTGCCCCATACTTTGTATTGTGTAGTATTGATATAATTTTATTATTTATACCCTGCCTATCTGCCTGGGTTTCCCCAGCCACTCTGGGTGGCTTACAATACGTATGAAAACATAGTAAAACGTGAAACATTAAAAACTTCCCGATACAGGGCTGCCTTCAGATGTCTTCTAAAAGTACCGGTAGTGTAGTTCTTTATCTCCTTGACATCTGATAGGAGGGCATTCCACAGGGAGGGCGCCACTGCCGAGAAGTTCCTCTGCCTGGTTTTTTTGTAACTTCACTTCTTGCAGTGAGGGAACGGCCAGAAGACCCTTGGAGGAGGACTTCAGTGTCTGGGCTGTACGATAGTACTCTGTAGCAGTCATGTTCAAATGTAACAAGCAAAAGATTTCTGGAGGGTTCAGGGCAGTTGTAAAACATGCAAGCTGTTCTACAGGAAGCAAGGTTATTGAAATACACAGCTAGAAAAGTTCAGTAAAAATATCAGTAGCTTTAGGAGTATGGAAAGACCTTGCACATTTAGTATATCAGAATGGTTGTGGTACTGGGACTCACTGGTAGCTTAGGGGCCTATAAATAATACAAATATATATTTTTAGCTCCTAATTGCCAATATAGTGGGGACATTATTATTATTGTGTACTGTCTTTCCATTAGATAACTGTCATTATTTCATAATGGTATGATGTTCTACACTAAGATTTTGTTTAGGTTTATTCCAGGGCTAATGAAAAGGAGCCATGTTGCTGGTGGCTGGCTAAAGTGAGAATGATAAAGGGTGAGGTAGGAATATATTTATTTTAATATTCTGGTTGTGGGTCTCTTTTCAAGTACTGCTTATTTATTGGACATTGTTACTAGAATCTACAGTTGCAATGGAAATTATTATCAAAATTTACAGACTTTCAGCTGTTTGCAATGAGCAGATCAAACAAAAGCAATTGAAATACCATATTTACTTGAGTCTAATCTGCCATCAAATCTAATGCGCACCTCAATTTTCAGAACCCTGTAACCAAAAAAAGTATTTGCTGTTGAATGCCATGCACATCAACAAAAGTGCACTCTTTACAACAGAGTCAGTGCTTGTTTCAAGAACAGAGAGGCTGCATCTTTTTTCCTGCTCCAAACAGCTTCCCCCACAAGTGAAAAAAATTAATAAGAGGCTTTTCCTGGTGCAAAAGGGAAGGAGTGGGGTAGCAAAGAGAACCAGGAAGCAAACCCCTGACCCTCCACCTGCAAATCTGAGGGATGCATGGAGAGGAGTGGGCAGAGGAGTGGGCGAAGGCAGCCAACAACAACAGATCTTTATTATGGTTGTAGACCAACAAAAGGAGGGAGGGGTACAATAATTTAAAATCCTTAAAAAGTTTAAAAAAACCCCTAAAAGGAGTTAAAACAGAAAGTGTATATAAAAGTCTATAAGAATCCAAAATAGGCTAAGAGAGTTAGTGTTTCTCAGCCTTGGGTCCCCAGATGTTGTTGGACTACAACTCCCATCATCCCTGAGCTCTGGCCTTGCTAGCTAGGGACGATGGGAGTTGTAGTTCAACATCATCTGGGGACCCAAGGTTGAGAAAGGCTGGAAGGGTTAAGAACGTTAGACAAGAGTGAAAGAGTGTAATTAATAATAATAATAATAATAATAATAATAATAATTTATTTATACCCCGCCCATTTGGCTGGGTTTCCCCAGCCACTCTGGGTAGCACCCAATTGAATATTAAAAACACAATACAGCATTAAACATTAAAAACTTCCCTAAACAGGGCTGCCTTCAGATGTCTTTTAAAAGTAGGATAGTTGCTTATTTCCTTGACATCTGATGACATCTGATACCCCATTCAGGACCAGGGAGTCCTCCACACCTTCCCGCCCCCTGTCCCCCCAAAACAGTACTTCTGTCTTTTCAGGATTCAGCCTCAATCTGTTAGCCACCACCCATCCACCAACCGCCTCCAGGCACTCACACAAGACAGTCACCCCCTTCACTGGTTCTGATTCACAAGTGAGAGCCCAGGGGTCTGAACACTCATCCCCCACCACCACTTTCTGAACACGGCCCAGGAGGAAGGAGCGGAACCACTGTATGACAGTGCCCCCAGCTCCCAGCCCCTCAAGACGGTCCAGAAGGATGCTATGGTTGATGGTATCAAAGGCCGCTTGAGAGATCCAGCAGAACTAGGAAACAGCTCTCACCTTTATCCCTAGCCTGCCAGAGATCATCGACCAGCGCGACCAAGGCAGTTTCAGCCCCAGTAAAAAGTTAGTATATAAGAATATAGCTATCAGTCTACAGAGCACTCTAATACGAGTGGTCATTATATCTAGTTTGTGGCACAGGTCATCATCTGACGAATTTTTGAGCACTGCTGTGCAGAATCTGGCAACGTTGTGTTTTGTAGCAGGGTTGGTATCAGGAAGCAGCAGGGAGGTATAGAATTTTCCTGTGCGCCCTGGGTACATGCAGTAATGGTAAGCTGAGGCTAGTACGAATGTCTCTATAATAAAGATACTGGAGAAGCACATGCTCTGTTGTTTCTATTTGTCCAGAATCACAGGGGCATTGTCTCTCCAGGTAAGCAATCTACCTTTATCGGCCTTCAAGGACAGCCGAGGGGAGGGCATGACATCGAGCCAAAGTAAAGGTCCTCTGGTTTTTAGGGATTTCGAGTTTAGCTAGATATGCCATAGGGGAGGCAGAATACCTGGAGGATCCATTGGCAATAAAAGTTGGGGTCCTGGCTAGATCCAATTGGCGTTCAGTGTCTACAACACACTGTTTTATGAGAGCTTTGGCCTGTTTGTATTCCATGCTGAGTAGAGGACCTGGAGAGAAGCCTAGGGTTGAGATCTTTGTTGCCACAGCCTGTTTCCATGTGGATTGAAAATCATCATTCATAGTTAGTGGGGCAAGGCCAAGGGGAAATAAAGAAAGTCTGAGCCAGTAGTTGAGTATCGTCACCCACACTCTAGCCTCCACTTTTATGAAACCTGTTTCTAGTCTCAGGGTGGCATTAGGACTCATTTTGGAACTTGAAGGGCTGATCTTAGAAATTTGGATTGTACAAGTTCTAGGGGTGCAAAATTGGAGAAGGGGCCCAGCTGGGCACCATAGAGAAGTTGTACTATTGGCTAGGCTTCAAATAAGTTGAGTGCTGCAGGTATATAGTGGCCACCTCTTGTTTTAAGAAATTTAAGGATTACAGATTAGCTTCTCTGTGCAGTTTCAGCAACATGTTCCCCATGGGCTTTCCTATTGCCGGTAGAGTGAAAAACTACCGCCATGTATTCGAAACAAGAGACCTGCTCAATCTTGTGGTCATCTAACGGTTCATAGGCCTTTTGGCAAATGCCATGATCTTAGTTTTCTGATATTTGAGTTCTAGCTGC